TATATACCAGTGAAGACAGTGAAAGTTAGGCTTTGCAGTAACAGAAAGGGTACCATTTTGATCTGCACTAGCTGGGGACATTTAAGGTTACAGCGCGAATTTCTGATAGACATAGGCAAAGCTGTGTTAATAACATGCACGTTCATTTTGTTTTTATGACATTTTTCATGCAAAGAGCATAAGTCAGAAAAAATGTAGACTGAAAGCAAGCCATCACAAGAGTTCATTCATCATTCTGCCTACAGATTTTTTTTTATCAATACAGCCACAGAAATGAATCTGTGCTTATTCCTTGAGAGAGAAGTTCATGTCAGAGAGATTGAAAAAGACAACCTTTATCATATTTTTCTCTGTCTTTTTTTTTTTTTTTTTTTTTTTTTTAAATCTGCCAGCACATGTAGACAGTATCAGCTGCATTAACAACACCACTCCTTTAGTGGCACTGGATTGAAACAATGACAATATTAAGCAGCTACTTCAAAAACACACAAGATTACATAAATCCAGACAGCTAAAGTAGTCAACTGGCTCTTTCTCAAACACCTGCAGCAATCCACCTTGGTTCAATAAGTATACTAGCATTAAAAGCTTAATTGCTCAGGCAACGATAAACCTTAGGAATAAAGTCATGAGAAAGGCAACTTGTTGAAGTGAGAATGATAAAGCATTCTGTTCTCAAAAAGTCATCCCTGCAGTATAGGAAAGATGCCACATTGAAGGTTTACACAAATATTTGTCTCAAGAGTAATTAGCTTGTCAGGAACCTAGACAATACCCACTTCCCCCTTTCTCTAACTATGATCCCAAATAGGATTATAATTTTAAACACAAAAACTAACAAGGCTATCCTATTTACTTTGATGAAACTACCCCTAGCAACACGGCAGGATCTATGTTTCATGGGGAGTAGGAAAGAATTGTGCTCACAACAGCAGGCATTTGGAGCTTGCCACGCAAGGAGATGGTGAAGTTGGAAGACGCTGCTGGCACGCTCCACCACAGGAGTGCGTCGCTTTGCTCTTGCCAGCACTGTATATAACCCAATCAAAATATATTGACAAAGTTGCCATGAGGAAGAAGGTATGGAAAAAAGACACCTTCCACACCTAGCTGATCTCTTCATTTTTAATTCATTTTTGTTCGATTCATTTCAAACATCCTGGCTTATGAAAACACACATTTTATATCCACTCAAGGTCTTTTCTCACAGAAGAAAATCTTAGTTTATTATCAGAATACCTGTCAGCTGCAGCATAGGTAAGAATGCCAGCATTTCCCACTCTAATAATATATAGAGAGCATATACAAGAAACATGGCTTGAAGCAGTGGTTAATGTTGTCAGTTGTGTTGATTTAAGCCAATTGTGAGTTACAGGTGTACACACAAAAAAAAACACCCAGGGCTAATCTTGCAAAGCTTCCAGATGCAAGTGTTTTTTCTGGAAGAAAAAAGAAACTGAAAACCTTTTAGTTTGTTTTGGTTTGCTTTGAATGAAGCATTGCAGCAAATCACTAGCTACACAATGAAACTCTTAGCATTTTCTTGTTAAAACTCTAAAGTAGGTAAGATAGGAAAATACAAATGATAGTATAAATAGTATAGAGCAACAGCCTTTGCAGAAATTGCTTCAGGGATGAGTTATAACTGATGTTGCAAATTCTTCTTATATATCTACATAGACAAATCTATACATTCCATAAATACAGCATCAGTTGAACTTCAGTTCCCTGATGCACTAGAGACCTCAGATTTTATTGCAGATTAAAAGCTTCTATGTCCTAATAAGAAGCAACAATGATTAAGTTCACTTATTCACAGAACTTACACTGAACTTAATGTTCAATGACACTAATGGTACGAAGCTTACAAGCTGGTGTTTTGCCTTCCTTACCTACAGCAGGGATTTCTACACCAGCTGATCTTCTATCACTCATGCTGCCACTTTGAAGCATAATGAGATGGATTAAGAGCTGCATTTCAGCCTTTCCTCTGCATTTTTAGACTACTCTCACACACTTGGCATATTAACAGTAATTTTATAGCTAATAATAGAGGTTGTAACTTACTGTAAAGTAGCACATGGAACTACAATGCCAAGTCATCTCTGTTTCTTTACAAGATGTCAGGAAGAACTGAATTCACTAATGATTTAGACTAATCTTCACCTTAAAATGTAGAAAGGTTAAAAAAAAAAAATCAGTCACAGGCACTCTCCCAAAGCTAGACATGGTTTCAGCTGTCAAGAAGGTAAAAAGCTTTCTGAAATGCATCTAATACATTTTAGGAAACTCTACTGTAAGTTACAATAGTCTTTTGAAAAGCACTTAATGGAATCCAGGCTCTTTGGTGAACACTTATTATCAGATTATGAAAGCAGACCATGACTGATGGCTTCCAACATTTTTTTTCTACATATAATTAGGTAAAATGTTCTCAGTTAAGTGACAGGTCTATAAAACACATTCACTTCATCTTTTGGTATTCCATGCACTAGGCATATATTTAGGATGAAAAAAGGCAAAACCTTTTACATCTTGTTCCTATCAAGTTTCCATTACCTGGTAGCTCCTTGAGTTAAGTCCTCCAAAAGGCTCAGTGCAATCGTATACTTGCTTACTCTGAATCTTATTACACCTTTGTGTAACAGAGTCCTAGCATTGTTATAAACACTAAGTATGTATATAACATTTTTTGAAGATCGTGGATAGAATTTCCAAAAGATACTCACCTTTACCTGAGCAAATGTTTCCAGCTGACCATTAGATTTCCATGATAAGTGGGAAAATGAAGCAGTCCAGGGCTTATTTCTCCCCTTCAATGTTTGTGAAAGAGCCAGCTGTACATACTCACTGCATGGGTGGAAGATAAGACTACACAAAGGGAGGATAAGATTGTCAGAGTCCAATACTGTCTGACCAGGTTCTTTTAGATATTCCACACATGCAGAGTGTAATGTTTAATATAAAAGTTTACTCTGAAGGTATTTGATGTTACATGGAATTTTTAATTTAGCAGTGACACAGCAATATATGAAATCACAAGTGTATACACTTAGCAAGATATAGCAACTGCAATATACAGTTCAATCACAACACCAGTGTGATACCTATTATTAATCTCTGTAACACGCTTATCCATCACAATGCTGGGCGTCCCCAGTCACCAGGAAGAAATACATGAGTTGAAGCCAGCCCAAGCCCATTGGTCTCTTTGAAATTCATTTGTTAATTGTTCAGCTTTTATACCCTATGTTGGGCTGAGCTACGTATACCCCACCAGCCCCACCATGTTGGTCTGGCTACCTCAGGGAGAAACATTTACACCAGCCGATCCATATACACATACAGCTGCTTATCTAAAACAAAGGCCACCCTCCGGTCCCCTTTGTGTTGAGATAAAGTCAGCTTTCTGGGCAACAGCTGCAGTTAATGAGTCACATCCTACCATTATTCCTGAGCTTCATGGGCATCTGGCCCTTGCCCATCTCCTCTGAGCCTTCTTCCATTGTAGGGGTTTATCGGTCGGTCACAAAGACTTAAACTCTGCTCCATTATTAGAGACACTAAAAGGGACTCCTAGTCAGAAAACCTGGTTGTTTCAGTTCTAGGATACACTTAAATGTGTACAGAAACTGCAAGCACAGGGTACCAAATGAGCATGAACCACAAACATTTCTGTTAGTTTTCAAGTGGAACTGCTAAGCTTCAAATTCCAAAACAAAGGACTTGTGGAGATCCAAGGCCATTTAATACCATGCCATGACCTACCACGTGACAGAAGCCATGGAACCATATCTAATGATTCCTATTTGGAATCCTACAGCTTGTGGTGAAATATGGCATCTTGAGCAGACTGGAAGACTGTAGTTGAAGCCTCTAACTCTGTCTCATGTATTTTGGATTGCAGGGCGAACAAGAAAACAGTTTAAGATGATGCAGGCTGTAACATGCCACCTCTCCCATCTGCATAAAGCACAAAAAACCTCTTAGAAGATAGTTGCCACTAATTGTGCCACAGAACTGGGCCCAGGCTTACTGAACACAATCCTGTAATGCCAGCCACTGGGTAAGCCAGGCAGGAGTGGCCACTATGATGAGAAACAGATAAAAACTGTCACTCAACACAATGGGAAATTCCAACTCTCTTTTTTTTTTCCCCTCCATAAAAGAAAGCTTAATTCCCCAAGAAGTTTGTCATGTGGTATCACAGAAAGGGAATCAAGGGGAAAAAAATGGAGGAAAGTAAATGTGCTATTTCTGAAGAAAGAACTGCTCCATTTGTCAGATAACCTAGTGCAGAGTAAAACTTCTCTGGTCGTGAATACTGCAACTCCTCTAGGTATTTTCTACATCTCTGATTCAGAAAGATGCTTAGCTATATACATAAGCTTTAAAGTACCCGCTTAATTGCAACACATAGTTTACATCTGAAACTAGAGGCACTGTGTAAGCTTAATTCTAACCAAAAATACATTACATTTATGGCGTAATAATGTTACAAAATTCAACTGCAAGGTGCAGAGAGTATAGTCCTGGATATCTGGCCTAGACTTTTCCTCCAGAGGACACAGAAGAAGGCCAGGCGAGCAGTTAGCATAGTATAACAGATCTACACTTATGGCTTGGTTTTGTTGCTATATTTCAGGACAAACTGCAGTTCAGAGCTTCAAGCGCGTGTGCGTGTGCGGGGGGGAACCTTCAGATCCTGCCCATCACTGCTTCAACATTACTTAACCTTTCAAAACATTTTTCCCAGGTCTATGCAACATTTCTAGCACTTGCTAACTAAGTATCAATGTGGAGGGGCTGTAGAGTGAACTTAAAACCCTATTTTAACAATGAATATATAGAGTCAGTATTGTTATGAAAACACCACGCTGTACACTGAAATACAGCACTTCATTATTTTCAGTGCTTTCAACAAATCCTGAATTGAGGTAATTCTAAAGAGACACAATTATGTCAATAAAAAGAATGTAACACTCCGTCTAGCAGTCATTCATTATAATATTTATTCTATGAAACAAAAAAGAAAATGTAAGATTGAAAAATGTTCCATGCATTTCATAAAATACAGAGAAAGACATTGTCACAAGCAAAACAGAGGACAAGCAAGCAAAAGCCCCACTGAAAATCCTGAGGGCTCTGCTTCTTCACATTGCATCATCTACATGTAAAAATGCATCTACAGGATAAAGTGCAGTCTAAAGGAAATGGTAGGTTATCTACCAATACCTTGAGTGAATAAATCAGCTCACAAGGCTTTTGCCATCCCCTCTTATCACAAGGCCAAACTGATTCAGCTCCTTTTCCTTACTACCAGTTCTTGGCATCATCTTTAGCTGGGAAATCAGGCTAGTACAGCAGAGTTTATATCAAGTCTCAGGCTAGGAAGAAACCAGGTCCCAAATGCAGCCGAGTACAGAAAAAAAAAGCTGGGCATGATGGGTGGGAGTAGGCAGCAGTTGTTCCACTGCTGGAAGTGGGGTGAATGGAGATGCCTTAACTATATACCAGGGGTAGGGAGAAGAAATACATTCCGTGATAGAAATATGCACAGAAGCAGGGAATAGATCTAGTACCTCTCTGTAAGAGCACCAATAACAGCACCAATAACACAAAACAAATGCTGTATTATAAAAAGATGCTGAAAGTACTGTTTTTATTTAGTTTACAAATTACATTACTACAAACCCTCTTACTGAAAGCTTTTGATATTCAGTGAGAGTCCAAAAAGTGCCTTTTCCTTGACCTACAGTATTCCACTTAGCTTTAGCAAAGCTGTTACAAGATCCTCCTCCTGTTTTTATTTTACAGAACCTCTCAGCCTCCCACAATAGTTACTGACCACACAGCCAGTCTAATTCTGAGCTCATGCCTTTAACACAAGAGCAGCCCCCACCTCTTACTGGGTATGCCAAAAAGCTGCCATAGCTGTGTTTGGGGAGGAAAGGGCAGAGAAAGGAAGAACAAGGCTCCACTTATATAAACACCTACTACCCCAAAAGCCCCACTCCATACAGGCTTAGGAACACCACAATCAGAGCTTCATGTGGGGAGGAGCAAAGAGAAGACAGCAGACTGGGATCCTTCCACCTGCACCCAGTAATCCATCCACTTCTCTGATAACAGCATTCTTCTGCTAGCTACCAAGCTATCTGTGCTGCAGGGCTGACGTTCTGCACTCGACTCCTGTGAATGATGCACCATGGGGGAAGATTGTTAGTTACAAATGTGTTTTTCACATTGTTTCTTAAAAGTATAAAGCTAAGAATTCATATTTTAGAAGCTACAGCAAAGTACAATTTAACCTGTAAAGTGTTTCAAAATCAGAAGATATGACATTTAGAATTGCCTGTGCTACCTCAACTCTGTCCCTTTGCATACATGTATCAGGAAAATGACTTTGCATTATATGATCTTTTCATCCTTCAGTCTCCCCAAAGAACGTTATTCCATTCCCTGGACAAGGATAGAACAGGCAGAAACAAGACTTCATGGGAAATCCCAAGTCTAGCATTTCTCACTTTTGAGGGCTTGCAGCTAAAATAATGTTTTCTTGATGAAGCTTTAAAAATTCAGTTATGTTTTATGTGCTCCTTTTCCATTAGGAAAACAGAAACTGCTTTAAAAATTAAGGTCTCACAGGCCTCAGTGAAGCACAAAGGTTGAGTCTTATTTTAAAACAACTGCCCAGCTTCCTAACTAGTGTCATTTCTGTGTTGTCCGTGTAAACATTACACAGAGTCTTTGTACCACCCACTAAGTCCTTTGTTTCAATCAACTATTTGTGCCCAAGAGCACATCCTCATGTTTCTTCCTACACCACAACCATCCTCCTATACCACAAAAGATGTAACAAAATAGGAATTAATCATAGACTGGATACTTACAGGGATTGCTGCTGTTTGCTTCTGTCTTCCCAGTCTTGGCAAGTTTGGTTGAGTTCTGCTGTGCTTTGCCCTGCTCCTCTCCAGTTAGCAGGGCTTTTATTTCAGATGGGATTTTCCCTTGGTCCATCGCCATGCACCACTGCTTGTACTGAAATATGCAAACACATTAGGCATTAGCAAACTGCCAGGATCACATTAGCAGACAAAATGAGAGCTGCTATCTCTACCTTCCAGTATATTCATTTAAGGTTTGGCTTTCCTGGGCTGAAGCCTCTTATAAAACTGCAGAGCACTAATGAGCTAAGCTCATGTCAATGGTTGCACACCTGGCCTCAGTAAATCCCGTTTCATTCAGTAAACTGCTTCTTAGTGGAAGCGCTAGATACAATACTGTACTTATTAAGCAATATGGAACACTTCGTGCATTTGCTTGCTCTTGGCATGCCAGAACACTGTTCCAGTTCATGGCCTATTAAAAACAAATACTCCACATAACTCTGGGCCTGATCAACTATTAAAAGGTCCTTCCTGATTGTGCAAGAAATAGTTACAGGACACTTGCCTTATTCCTAGTTCCTGCACTTTTAATTCTTCACTGGCAAGCCCTGAAACACACTGTAAGGCCAGTTGGCTGAATTTCCACCTAAGTCCTATCCCTATTCATCTGGGTTGACTAGCCCTACCTCTTCAAACAAACCTAACACAAGGTCAGAGCAATATCAATTTCAGTGGCACCTACCTATCACCAGGGAGTTGGCTTTCTATTTTGGGATAGAACACTCTTTTGTTAATGCAACTTATTTGGCCGAGACACCCATTTTAATGCATGCTCAAAACACTGCACAGCTAAGCAACCATCTACACATGTCAATAGCGTGCTCCAAAATTCAACTTCCCACACAAAGACAAAGGTCAGTGGGAAGCACTGGCAAACTATGGATGCATCTCCCCACCGATCTTTTAACATGTCTCTTTCTATCCTCTGCCTCCTTCTCTGCCTGCCAGAGGCTTTCCAAAATAAAGATTTCAAAGACAACAAATTTGCATGCAATGGCCCTCTCTTTGTTTACTTCTAGTTCAAAACTAGAAGATAACTTGTAGCCCAAGGTTCATTTTCAGTATGCAAAGTGGGCAAGCAGCTGAGTGCATCTGTTGCTAATCTTTTAGTACCTTATGGTTAAATGCTGTTCTCATTTTAGTCACAGGGATTTCAAGGACAAATATCCACAACAGCAAGCTCCAAATCAGACTGAGGGTTAGCTTAAATGATAGTTACTTACCATTTCAAGCTCTTCTCTGAGAGCACAGATGGCTCGCTCTCTGCTTGAAACCAGCTCTTCCAGGTATTGGTACCTCAGCTTCTTCCTGGCTCTGCACTCTCTTGCACTCTGACGACTCCTCTCAAGTTTTGCCTTCAAGTCTATTTTGGCTGGTTTTCGACCTCGCTTGCCTGGTTTCTTTACTTTGCCTCCAACCACCTGGAAAGGAAGGGTATGTTAAAGGTCCTGCTCTGCAAAGAGAATGCTGGAATCATGTGGCGGTGCCTACAAGATGTCTCAAACCTAAACCTTGCACATACTTTCACTGATTCTGGAGCAATAGAGGATGTAGGTGTTTTGTTTTTTTTTTTTTTTAAAAAAAAAAAAAAAGAGAGAGAGCTGACATGTGAAGGTTTCAGTGACAGCACCAGAAGAGAGGGTTAAAACTTCAATATGAAGCCAGTGCTCAAGCAGTCCTATTGTAAATGCTGCTAATCTGATTTGGAAGAGCAGTATCTAGGAGAGGAAGAGATGATCAGTCAACTCTGTAGCAAAAGTGCTTTAATATTAGCAATGAATATCAGTGACAACCCTTGCCCTAATACTCATCAGCTGTAGAAATACTAGATTATGAAGTTTAACACTTCAATTTGAAAGAAAAGTTACTGCCTTATACTAGTCCAAAAACTTAATTATGCTGCAATAAAATGACCATAGTTTCAGGAAGCCTACTCTTAAGATGAAATTTCTCAGAATTATTCCCTGGCCACCTGAACTCCTTCAGTCTTGATTTACTTCAAAGGAATTTTCTGAGGATTTTTACTAAAAGGGAATTTAGTTACACTAAGTTCTGTCTTTCAGTTCCATTTCTTTCCTACCTGACTCCTGCTGCCTCCATTAGAGCTGTACCTAACCAGCCTGGGCATTTTTGCCTTAAAAAAATAACAACAGCAACTTACACAACCTGCAAGATTGTCTCCTCATTCCAGCTATCCCAGTGCCATATTTAGATCTCCCTTGCAGAAATGCAATCCCATCATTTCTTGTCCTATACATAGCAGGCACTGGCAAGCATTTTCCTCATTTTTTGGTGGCTTTTTTAAAAAAAAAAAAACACACACACAGATCTGAACACTTCCCTTCCTCCAAATACAGGAGGAGGGAACAGTTTCCTCAATGTTTACTCTGTGCTTCCCCTCCCAAATATTTTACTCTTAATATGAGAACATGGCACACAAAAGTCTTAAATATAGTATGAAAGTTAATATAGTGGCCATGAGGTAGGATTGCCTTGTAAAGCATTATGTCAGTCACACACCCCGCTTTCCCTCTGAAGTGAGAATTTCACTTTATTTGCATTTTGACCACAGTGTTTGAATGGAGAGGGTGTGGAGAAACACACCTAACACACACCTATATATAAGAATTTCACTGCCGGCTTAGTGTTTCACCATACTGTGTATACATGGTAATTTTTCTTATAAGCAGTGTTCAAAATACCACAGCTCATAATAAAAATTACACTTTTTACCATGGGATGCTACAAAATAAGTCTGCTTTGATAGTCACAGAATTCACTTGTTCTATAAACTCAACAGGCTGCGATAAAAACAACAAAATAGTGAACTGATGTGCTAGAATGAAAAAAAAAATAAAAGAATTATACAATTACGGCTATTCTTTCTCTGGAAAGTGAGTCAACAATCACTTGGCAACATAATCCTACCCTCGCACATACTGCCTCTCCTAATTTATTCAGGAGTAGCTGCCTACCATAAGCAAAGCGAGGAACAGAAAGTACTTTATGGACACCAAGTGCTAATGAAACAAACATAATACAGTCAGAAGAGTAAGCAAAAATTCAAACTTTTTTGCATTTCAACTGCAGACCACAGTTTGAATAATCTATATTTTCCACTCATCCTGCAACAAAGGTGCATTCCTTAAGATTTTCTAGTTTAGTTACTATTTTCCAAGCTTGCCTGTAACTAATGCATACGGTAATTCATTAAACTTAGTTCTGTAAAAAAGGATAACCTGGTTCAAGGCACAAAGTAACATTTTTTATAAAAGCAAGACAGATGTAACCAACTTTCTGCAACTTGTTGCTTCTCAGGGGAAACATCCTGCTCCCATCTCTGCTCCCTCTCCTTTTCAGGACCTTCGCTTTCATGTCCTCCTCACTCATCTGACTACACAGTAAGCCTATCTGATTCACCAAAATAGTACAAATCTAACCAGCCAAGGTCAAGGGGAGAAGGAGGTTGTCCCCCTTCAGGGGCAACAAGCATGGCTCCGTCCTCTCACGGAAGCACGCTCATTGCTCTGTGGTGAAATTTATACTCCTAGTTCAGTAGGAGATAGAAATACACAGAGTCTTCACAGGAAGGGTTGGAGGCACTCACAATTTACTAACTGTTATTACTCACACTCAGAAGAAGTCATCATGGACCCACCATTATCAATTAACCTCTTTCCATTTAGTTCTCTCTTGAGAACTTGTGTACAGATAGGTATACTAATTGCTCTTGCTCTCTCTCTTAAGATCTTTTATCACTGTACCAGCCTTGCATGCATGCTCTGTCTTATGGAAGGGAAAAAGGCTTACATCCCTGAGGTCATTTCTTGTCAATTATAGAAATCACGGTACACTTCCTTCCCTCTTAACTCTGACTTCAAGCAGCAAGACCCTAATAATCTGCCTTCACAGCATCCTCAAAGACTCATATCGTCTCCGCGGCTCCTGAACTGCAATTCACCAAAAAATTATGCATCACCCTGCACAGCTAGCTTAAGCGATTTAACCAAATCCTGCATTCTTGGTAACTTTTTCTTATTAATATTTAGAAGCTCCTAATGCAAGCTTAAGCAAGCCAGTTGGGGGAAAAAAAAGGCCTGCCAAATCCTTTTCCACCATTCCATGTTACCATACCTCCCTGGCTTCCAGTCATGTTTGCCTAGCCAGTTGCTATGCTGGTGTGACAGAAAAAAAGACAAAGCAGAAGTGCTCGTTGATGCTGAGCATGGCAGCAGACCAACAAAAAACAAGCAAACACTTTGTGTTCTCTTTGTATTCCCCTGGAGTTCATAAAGGGATGGGATCCATTAGCATTCAGCAGTGGGGATTTGTTTTTTCAGGGAGTCACATGCAATCAAGACCCACAAGAATGCTAATGATAAAGTTTGTCATAAAAATATTAATAATGACATGCATTTGTCAGAAGTCCAACCAAGCTCATGTTTCAGCACACCAGTGCTTCAGAAGACAGAAAAACATAGCTTCTCTCCCTTTTTAATACGCTACTGAGCTCTTATCATAATTTGTGCCTGGTGTCAGTGTTCAGGTACAAAATTATTTGACCTGCAATTGGAAATAGCTTCAATTACTTGACCCAATATGGAAACAGTCTTTCAGTTTTTGAATTTCTCTTTTGCCCAAAAACGAGCAAAAGGGCATTGGGAAGAGATTCCACAGATCTCTGGAGAAGTGCTGCCAGAGTGAGCCCTGAGGAGAGCCTCCTTTGGAAGGACAGATACACGCAGTGTGGTTACTAGCAGTCACATCCCCCGCGAATTGAGCCACACTCACAGAATATTGTGATAAAGCTGGCCTTGCTGTTACACCTGCAGGCACGGAACAAATTGCCAGATTAAAACAATGCTGTCTGTAGCCATCAGTTCAATATCTTTCAGCACCTCTCCGTTCATTCCAAGATAAACGATTAGCTCTTAAGTGCTATATCAGCCAACACTTGAGACCCAACCCAGGGAATCATCTTAAACGGTGGTCCAGACTCTTATTTGCATTAGTTGCTGAAGGAATAGGTCTGCAGAATCTAACTTAGTATGAAACTGGTGATCATCTACATAATTAATAGAAAGTTATAAAAATAGTCAGTGAGAAATAAAAACTAGCCTAAGCACTGAATTTGTTATGGTAAAAGGGTGAGGAAGAAAACATGCTATTCACACTTGCAAACATTCTCTCAAAATCAGTAATTAAACAAAATCAGTCACAAGTCTCCTACTAAAGATGAGGTTATCCATCTTATGCTAAGTCACAGTATATCAGTCACAATAGGAGTGTATGACCTAGCTAGAAACTATGCTCGCTATTCCTCCATCACATCACATTTTAACAGACTAATCTGTATAAAGCTCATAACTTTCTCTGGCAGACTCAGTATCCCAAGTCACATGAGAAAGCACTCCAAAAGCACAGCTGATAAAAATCTTACATTTTTGGATCATTAATTAGTGAGCAAACACTTTAAGTCTTAAGGAGATATGGGAACAAAAATTACAGCTAAGAGTCTAATCACGCACACTGATTAATGTGCTAAGAAGGTAATCTTTAGAAGAGATGTCTGCAGAAGACTTTTTAAAAAGCATAAGCTAGGAACAAATATTAAGATTTCATAAAGTGATAAGCAGATGTTCACGTGTCAAGACGGGCAGGTGTTAAGGCTGAAGTCAAGAATCACTATTCTGACTCTCTAGCAATCACTTGAATGCCTCCTTACTGCTCAACAGGTCAGAATCCTCCCTTCCACCCAGAAAGGAATTACCACCTTACACACAGAAACACATCCACCTATCTGCCATGCATATTCTGCCAATTTATATCAACAGAACCCAGACATTTCTTTAAACTTCTCTCTGTTAGAGCTGTAAACAGGCGGAGACAGTCAGCCAACACCGTACTAGGTATAGCCTCCTAGCCCACCGCAGACATGGAATAAAACTGTTCTAGCTGATCTGCCAGGTTTAAGACAACCCATTTGACTCACCTATTGCAAACACGAGAAAGCAGATATGTCAACTGACTCATTAAAATATTTGATGATTTGAGATTCCCTGCCTCAAATTATAATCAAAGTTATTTAGGTTTTACATTGCAAAACAAGTAACTTATGAGAATACTTTCGTCCAGGTACCCGTGTGAACATAAAGAATTCTACAGTGCTTTACAAACCCGCAATCTCTGCAAAAGCCCTAAAGGGTAAAAACATAGTAACCAATCTCCTTAACAACTTAGATCATTACGAAAACAGATCCTGGGCTCCACTCTCCACTCTGACTCCCTGATGAATGCACTAGTCCTCAGTCCCTGCTGTTGTGTTCAAAGCATTCCTCAGAGTCAATTCCAGGATTGCCAGGGAGATCATCTCCCTCTTCACGATCCTGGTCACCCACAACAGTGAGGGTCAAAGGCAGAGAAGTGTTAGGGGACATCT